AAAAACACAAAGAAAACCAAAATGGAACTAAACACATAATAAAACACTAAACGAACTAAAAACTCAAGAAAGGACCTAAAACGGGGGAAAAACAAAAATAAAACAATAACGAAAAATACAACAAAAATGAGACAAACAGCCAATTTGCATAGAGAGCCTACAGCCTTTTGGTGCAGGCATTCAAGTCAATGGTATACGCACTGCGATTTGAGTTGCATTTTTCAGCCATTGCACCTGTTTTGGGTTTTTTAATCGAGTCATTAGTTATATGAACAGGCGAAATAGAGAATGAAAATAGAATCAGCAACATAGTTATTACTCGTTCTGCATAATAAATGTAAGATATAAACTCAGTTAACAAATTCCAATCAACAGATTATTTTCCTCACATATCATTGTTCCATTGCCTTATGTTTCAGATCAAACAAATAGAATTTCCACGGATATGCCAAAAACAATTTCAAGGCATCATCGATATATAAAAAAAGGTTGTTTAAAGGGATACATTCATGCCCAGAAACATAATATATCGAATTTTCCAAACATCTGCATAAATTTCTTCAAATATAACGTTCAGTAAAAATTAGGGTTCCATCAACTTAAACCAATAGCTACATAACCGTGAAAGCAATAACACATACTACAAAAATTCCTAAAAACAAAAAAAAAATAACGAAATTTAAGATTCAGTGTATCAATCAAATCTTCCTTCATTACCTTAGACAAAAAAAAAGGTTCTAATCGAAGACGTTCAGTAAAAATTAGGGTCCCATCACCAATGGCTAATCATAAAAGCAAAACACAGAATACAAAAAATTGAAAAAAAAAAGCTAAACAAAACGAAGACGAAATTAAGATTCAGGGTATCAATAAAAATAAAACCTTCATTCATTATCTTGGACAAAAACGTTCTAATCGAAGAAGGTATCGGCAAAAAACTGACAATCAATTGAATCATAAATCCTCCTCGGTGCTAAATATGGCTTTATGAAAACCACCGACCTCAGCTTCTTGGCGGCGCAAACTGAAAATTAGGGTTAGGGTTGCTCAAGAAGAAGAAAAAAAAAAGAAGAAAAGAAATAAGAAAAAAAAACCGGCGATGGAGATCAAGCGGCAGAATCTCCGACTAACGGCATGGTATCTAAAGTGAAAAGAGAGGGAAAAAAGACGCGATAGTATAGTAGTTTGTATTTGGGTAATCGAGAAACTCTTATAAACGATAAACACTTTAATAATTTTTATTTATTTATTTATTGTTCATATTTTAATTAGTTCATATTTTAATTAAATATAATACTTATATAAAAATAAAATTAAAAAAATATATTTTTTAAATAATTTAAAATATTATTTTATTTTTGAATATCTTATATATTATATAATTATTCATAAATTGAATTATAATTTAAAAATAAAGTATATTAGACCACATATGCTTATAGGGATAAATGTAATGGTATATTCCTATAATTTAATATGTATATCAATACACAATTCACTATTTTATTATATAATATACACGAGTGTAACTATACGAAAATACATTTATCAAAATATAATATACCTTTTTAAGAAATAAAATAATTTTGTTATTATCAGATAAAAAAACAGACATTTTTTTATTGTAAAACTGCACTACTTTCTCTCGAAGTTTCATCTTCTCTCGCATTCTCATTTGTTAAATCATAAAGTGCACGATGTGGCTTTTAAAGGGAATATGTGTTCCACGAGTGGCTAAGCCATATACGTCTCCTTGGTGGAGGTGAACGTTTTGAAATCATCCTCGTTCTTCCGTTGAGACTCCTTGCTGTCGGCGTCGAATATGGAGAGGTCAACGGAGCCCCAGTCGGTATCTTAGGACATAGTTTCGGCAATCGTGGACTAGAATGACAGCGTCCCTACGGAGGAGGGTCTTCTCCTTTAAGTCATGATCCCGCCGGCTAACCATCGCCCCTCTTCCTAACTTTTTAGATCTACGCTTGTTTTCCCTGTTGATTCGGGTAGTTCTGTCCTTTTTTTTTTTTGTTTTGCTTCCCTAGGAATAGGAGCGGCGTTGGTGTGGCAATGATGGGCGTGATGTGGCCAGAGTTGGTATAAAGTCTATTGTGCCCGTGGTCATGGTTGTTCAAAAACTGTAAGATCACAAACCTAATTAAAAACCATTGATTTATGGCTTGGTCTCTTTCTCCTTAATTTTCAACTCTTTCTACAGTTCCTTCTTTCAAAGAGCGGAGGTCGCTTCACACCTCCAACAACTTTTATTCGATGGGAATTACGTTTACTTTGGTCGAGGACCTGTCGCTGGACGGCTAAACCTCACGTGAGGTGAAAAGCCAGAGCTTTGTGAAGAGGGACATAGCCAAGTTTGTGAGGACAATGTTAACCATGGAATTTCAAGCACGAGTTTGTCCAGCAGCTTATGTAGGTATCGTGCATACGAATGTTGAATTAAGTTATGATAGTTCTATTTTTCTTCTTTTTCATGTTCATTTGTTGTTTTTCTATTTTTGTTTATAGTTTTCTTTTGTGCCTTTCGTGTAAACTTGGCATTGACTCCTTTATCAATTTCAATAGTAGGGATTTGAGAAAGCAAAGAGATTTCTGGGACAACTCAAAAAGATTTGGGTGGGTTTATTTGGTTTCCCTTTAATTTATACATTGATATACATTCCAATCTTGTTTACGTATGTGTGTGGCAATATGAATATAAATTGATTTGTTTCATGTTTGGTACACATTAAAATTTGTTGATGGGTGGTTGATGTTCAGTAAAGGTGGATTGGCACCGACGTTACGCCATGGTTTTTCTTTGACTCAATTTTCCATCCATGTGTTCATTTATTTACTCTTTCATGTATTGTTTCAATAAGATCCCAAAGTTGGATTAACTTGGTTAATACTGTTTTTCTATATTTTACTTTTCTTATTTCCACCATACCAAATGAGATTGTTGTTGTTGGTTGTTTCAGTTGGAAGTGTGGCGGTTCAGAGGAGTCATGAGAATGCAGTTATTGTTGGGGAGGAAATGAGAGAAGCATTGATGCGAACCAGGCATCTGTGCAGACTTGGAGTTTGTAGAGAGAATAATGCTTATTTTCCCGTGGAATGGTGATGTATGAAGATCAATCGATTCTTGAGGGTCATACTTTGGAGCCGTGGAGAGTTGAAACATGTCTTCGGATATAGTATGGAATATTTCATTTACTTCTTTGTGTCTTGGTGTAAAGTTAGTTGGATTTCATATATCCTAGCAAGACTTAATTTGTGGTTCTTTCTACAATTTATTTTTTTTGCCTGCATTTGTTAGTTATATGCTTGAGATTCTTAAAAAGATGAAGGTAGAAGAAAGGTAGCATTTATATTGGAGTACTGGAGTTTATAAGGATGTCTACATAAAATTATTCTTAAACGACCTAAAAAGCTGGAACTTCTTCATGTCAAGCGTGTATCGATAACATCTATTCAGAGAACATTACTACTATTAGTGTTTTTTTTCTTTTTTTTTTGGCATTTTTAGGTTGTCTTTGACCCAAATTACAATGTAAGTGTTTCAGAAGTGTTTATTCCTGTGAGTGACTTATGTCAGCATATCAAGTATTCAGTCCCAAAATATAATTTCTTATTACAGATGTTATGAAAATACTTGGATGAGAAATGGTGATAGTTGTCTTTATGTTTTGGCTTGGATGAGAAATGGTGATAGTTGTCTTTATGTTTTGGCCAAGTCTTACTCACATGGATATATGTCATCTTTGGATATTTTTACATTCAACCTGGTGAATTGGTTTCGTTCTTAACTTTTTTCTATGTGCAGAACTGATCCCTCTTGTGGTATGTAATTGAAGTACATAGCTTAAAAGTTTGTTAGAGATTATTATATTGTATGTTTTGGACATTGATAATATATGTAATGTCATATTTATTGTATGTTGTTGGTTTTTTTTTTTTTTTTT